GGCGCCCGCGGGGGGAAGGGGAGGGGGAGCAGCGGCAGCCAGGGTCAGGTCGGGCATGTCCTCCTACAGGCGGATTCTGGAGGAGGAACAGGTCAAAATCCTAGGAGCATGCTCAACAACAGCCCAAAGCATAGGGGGGACATGCAGGAACCTCCCCCGACGTTTTTTGTCCTGGGCTGCTCCTGAATTGTCCCTCCTGTGGAGGGACACGCCCCACTCAAAGCCAGGGGGGGGGGGGGAGGGGGGGGGAGAACTCGAGCGGCGAAGGCTGCACGGGACGTCGCTGCTGCGGGGCACCCGGGGAGGCCCCCCCCCCCACACAAGAGGTCCTACGTAGAGACCCTCCGCGAAGCCTCCCGAGGTCGGCGGAGGCCTCCGCGGACTCCCCCTCGGGGGCCTGCGGAGGCTGAGCAGAAGCAGAGGCACACAGAGAACGCCAGAGAGCCTCGATCCCCGATCCTCCTCGACCATCCACAACCTCACCATCCTCCTCCTCCTTATCCCCCTCCTTCTCCTCCTCCTCCTCGACCCTCCTTCTCCCTCTCCTCCATTCCTCTTCCTCGCAAGCAGCTCATCACGGTCGCACCACCAGGCGTGTCGAGAGGGCGGGCTGGGCTCACACGGATGGAGGGCGACTCGTTTCTCAAAGGGGGCTATCGCATTGGCGCCTGGCAATCCTTTTCAAAATGGAGCTCTCACCTTGGCGCCGCGCACTCTCGCCTTCTCAAAAAGCAAGACAAGCGACCAGAGTTATACGGGTGGAGGGCGGCTCCTGTTCCAAATGAGGCTATCGCCCGAGACCGGCGACACGGATGGAACGCGGCTCTCGTTTAAAACGAGGCTCGAGCCTGAGACTTCCTCTGACTTCTTTGACCATGCGTCTAGAGTTGTGTACGGTTCCCTACCAGGGAGGGGGTAACGCCGGGCGTCCTTGCACCTGTTGGGCCAACCTTGTCGCAGTCCTTTACAGTCGGGGCCCTGAAGAAGAAACCCTTTTCGTTGGGGAGGGGCTCCGTGTTCCTTAATTGTTTCGCAGCTTGCCTTGGATTTTCCTCAGGTTTTCGATACGAAATCGACGTTCAACTTATGGAGAATAGGGGCCTCGTTCCTTATTTAGGGTTCCTTAGGTCATAGCCTCGACTGTAATCTCGATGGATGGAGGCCTGTTTCTGTCAAAACGGGGCTCCGCCTGAGACGCGAGACTATGGGGCGCTTGTCCTTCAGGGGGGGCGCTCCTCGCAGGAAAAAAAAAACTGCAGAAACGACTGAGGAGGGGAAGTCAAGTGCTGCAGTGCCCTTGATGCACACTGGGCTTACTCTGGTCTCTGGTTCTCCCCCGCCTTCTCTCCCTCCTCCGCCTGCTCCTTGTCCTCCTCATCCCTCCTCCTCCTCCTCCTCCTCCTCCCTCTCCTCCCGCCTTCTCCCCCTCCTCCTCCTCCTCCGCCTCCTGCTCCTCCTCCCGCCTCCTCCTCCTCCTCCTCCTCCATCCTCCTCCTCCTCCTCCTCCTCCTCCTCCTCCTCCTCCTCCTCCTCTTGCTACTCCTCCTCATCCTCCTCATCCTCCTGCTTATCTTTTTTTTTCTGGTCATGTTTCCTCATGTTCGTCACGATCGCACTCTTATCGTGAACAGACCTATCATTGTTGATGGTAGTATTACGACTACTAGTATGATTCTAGAACTAGCAGCAGTATCAGTATGACCATCAGTAGTAGTAGTATTGTTGTAGCTATAAGAATACGGGGAACTCTAATTTTATTCGTACCAGTAGTAGTAGTGCGATCGCACCATTCCTAATTGCTACTATCGTACGATAATACAATACATTACTAGCTATTACCATCCGCATCCGCATTCTCAATCGTATTAGTAATCGCTTCATGAGAAGTACTAGTATTCGCAATCGTATTACTCAGATTCCTCGTCATCTTCGTCTTATCCGTATGTGTACTACTTCTCTTAGTCTTATGATTCGCATCAATCATATTACTACTATTGGTCGTGTTGATATTGGTACGTTTCTTATGGGTGCTGGAAGTGCGACGACTATCGTTATTGATGGTAGCATAGCTGTTCATAGTAAAAGTATGTTCAATATGAGTAAGAATGATGAGCATTACTTGTGTTGGTAGTAGTAGTAGCAGTGGTAGTAGTAGTAGTAGTAGTAGTAGTAGTAATAGTAGTAGTAGGTAGTAGTGGTAGTAGTAGTAGTAGTAGTAGTAGTAGTAGTAGTAGTAGTAGTAGTAGTAATAGTGGTAGTAGTAGTAGTAGTTGTAGTAGTAGTAGTAGTAGTAGTAGTAGTAGTAGTAGTAGTAGTAGTGGTGGTAGTAGTAGTAGTAATAGCAGTAGTAGTAGTAGTAGTAATAGTATGCCTCGCATTGCCGTTAAGATGATTACCAGTATGTTTACAAATATATGCTTCCCATGCTTATGTTTCGTATTCTTCTTCTTCGTCCTCATTCTCATCCTCCTGCTCCTCCTCTTCCTCCTCCTCCTCCGCCTCCGCCTCCGCCTCCGCCTCCGCATCCTCCTTCTCCTCCTCCGCCTCCACCCTCCTCTTCCTTCTTCTCCTCCTCCTCCGCCTCCTCATCCTCCATCCTCCTCCTCATGCTCCTCGTGTGTATCCTTCTCCTCCTCCTCCGCCTCTTCCACCGCCTCCGCCTCCTCCTCCTCCTCTTCCTCCTCCTCCTCCTGTTCCTCCTCCTCCTCCTTCTCCTCCTCATCATCCACCTCCTCGTCTTAGTCTTCCTCTTCGTTGTATTACGAACCTTCTTCTTCTTCTTCATATGTCTGCCAGTGGCATTCGTAATGGTATCAGTAGTTGTATGCATTAAGACCAACAATAAACTAATGTCATGATCATCCGTCTTATTGCTCATAGAATGGCAGGGATACTGATACACCGAATCACAACTGTTATACATCCTCAAGTTATCCATACCAGTACCATGTTCACACATCTAATTAGCATGATTCGCATTCGTATCACTATTCATCGGCAACTTCGTCTTACCCGCCCTCGTCTTGCTCGTAGTCACCGGAATATCCGCAATGACCGTATTACGCTTCAGCTTAGTAATGCGATTCTTCCGAATCGTATTAGTAGTGGTACGCGCAGTATCACGACTGCTACTACAGTATTCGTATTAGCTTTGCTTCTAATGTTACCAGCTGGTTCAAGCATTAATAATAGCAATGGTATTACGCTCATTGGTAGTGGAGGTAATATGGTTCGTCTGCTTTGGGTTATTATCAGAATGAGTGTCATTGGTGATCTTACGACTATGATTATCATTCCTCCTCCTCCTCCTGCTCCTCCTCCTCCTGCTCCTCCTCTTCTTCCTCCTTCTCCGCCTCCGCCTCCGCCTGCTCCTCCTCCTCCTCCTCTTCCTCCTCCTCCTCCTCTTCCTCCTCCTCCTCCTCCTCTTCCTCCCCCTCCATCTCCTCCTCCTCCTCCTCCGCTCCCTCCTCCTCGCTCCTCCTCCTCCTCCTCCTCCTCCTCATCCTCCTCCACCTCCTCCTCCATCCTCCTCATCACCCCTCCTCCTCATCATCCCTCCCACTATTCCTTCTCCTCCTCCTCCTCCTTCTCCACCTCCTCCTCTTCCTCTTCTGCTGATTTGTTGAAACACATATAACAACTGGTAGTATTACTACTATTAGTAGCCTCATCAGCATTATGCTTACGATGTCTAGAAATAGTCGTGTTAATATAAGTGTTCAAACTGTTACCCTTAGTACTAGTATGCTAATATTAGTTTAATTAGTGAGATTCCTGCTCCTCCTCCTCCTCCTCCTCTTCCTCCTCCTCCTCCCCCTCCTCCTCCTCCTCATCCTCCGCATCCGCCTAATTACGCCTCCACCTCCTCCTCCTCATCCGCCTCCTCATCATCCTCCTCCGCGTCCTCCTCCCAAGCCTCCTCGTCCTCCTCCTCCTCCTCCTCCGCCTCCGCCTCCTCCTCCCTCCTCATCCGCCTAATTACGCCTCCACCTCCTCCTCCCTCCTCCTCCTCCTCATCCTCCTCCGCGTCCTCCCAAGCCTCCCGTCCTCCTCCTCCTCATCCTCCTCCTCCTCCTCCTCCTCCCTCCTCCTCCTCCTTTCCTCACCTCCTCCTCCTCCTCCTCCTCCTCCTCCTCCTCCTCCTCCTCCTCCTCCTCACTCCTCCCTCCATCCTCCTCCTCCTCATCCTCCTCCTCATCCTCATCATCCTCATCATCCTCATCATCCTCATCTCATCATCATCATCATCATCATCATCATCATCATCATCATCATCAGCATCATCATCATCATCAGCATCATCATCCTCATCCTCATCCTCATCCTCATCCTCCTCATCCTCATCCTCATCCTCATCCTCATCCTCATCATCATCCTCAGAATCCTAGAATCCTCATCATCCTCATCACCATCATCATCATCATCATCATCATCATCATCATCATCATCATCATCATCATCAGCATCATCATCATCATCATCAGCATCAGCATTATCATCACCATCATCACCATCACCATCACAATCACCATCATCCTCATCACCATCACCATCACCATCACCACCATCATCATCAGCATCATCATCAGCACATCATCATCATCATCATCATCATCATCATCATCATCATCATCATCATCATCATCATCATCATCATCATAATCATCACCAGCATCGCATCATCATCATCATCATCATCATCATCATCATCATCATCAGCATCATCATCATCATCATCATCATCATCATCATCATCATCATCATCATCATCATCATCATCATCATCATCATCATCATCATCATCATCATCATCATCATCATCCGCCTCCTCAGCCTCCTCCGCCTCCCGCTCGGGCGGGGCCGTGGGCGAGCAGTTTGACCCCGCCCGGGCGGGGTCGCGAGGGAGCATTTCGACCCCGCCAGGGCGAGGTCTGAAGCGAGCATTGCGACCCCGCCTGGGCGCGGTCATGTGCAAGTTTTCTGGCTCAAATTGGACGGGC